AGCCAAAAATAGCTAGAAAAAAAATAACTAATTGCATCACACTTTAGCCTATACAGGCCAGAGAAATTGCCACTGTCTCAAGACCCTGCTGTACAATCTTGATCTTTTCTGAGGTCAATTAATTGTATAAGATCCAGGTTCTCATTTTTCCTACAAAAAAAACTATCTACTTTCCTAGAAATTGCTAGCCAGGCAACCAACTCGTTGACAATTAACTTTTCAAGGATCAATACTTAAGTCAAAATTGAACTATGAGAAATGTTCCTGTTCTTGCAAATGTCTTAGTAACCATGGTGGGGAGTAGGGCAGGAGGGTGGAAGGTGATAAAAGCTATTTTTTAGTGTCTTAGGTAGACTGTTCTTTTTAAATGCACAGGTTTTCTTGCAATACAGCATAAAGTAAATCCCCTGGTACATGTTCAATGAATGTTTGTTGACTGAAATAGAAAACTTGTTTAATATATGGCACATAGGCACTTTTAGGTCATGATCATTTAAGGGTCATTAAAATCAGGCAAAATTACTGTAACTTACATTTCTTTTTCTTTTTTATCTTGGAACATTTCAAACATACTCAAAAATAAAAAGAATATAATGAACCCTCATGTACTCATTGTACAGATTTAATAATTAGCAACATGCGACATTTCTTCTTTCAAATATCTCCACCCTCCCTCAACTCTTCTGGTGATGTTTTGTTAGAGTAATAATAAGGCAAACGTGAGGAACAGCAAGGCAAATGTCCTACCTCAGAGTTGGATAAATGCAATAAGGAACCATTTAGAAACAGTTTGTGAAGCATTCAGACTTTAAGAACCTCATTTATTGCAGTGATTATTAAAGAACAAAATAGTTGGATTGTGTTCCCATTTAAAAAGGGTGTTCCTTGTTCTGTTTACTTCATTGGAGAGGTAAATGGGCATGATAGTTTTGAACCTGTAACTGGTTCTCTGCACCTGGCCATTGTTAGCCCCAAATACACAGGTTTCTACAGATGTTCAATGATATTTAATCATTCTTTTCAATATCTGTAAATTCACTTCAGGATTATATGAATACATCTATCTTTATCCACAGCTTAAGTCACCCCTTGATCCAAGTTATTGAGAAAGTGATATGTGGGGTTTTGTCAAATAAGATTACTCTCATCATTTTTATCCTACTAAGGTGCCTCCACTGAAAACATTTGGGTGGGAAAGGGGGCGACAGTAATTCTTAGACTGGCACTGCCTCGCAAAATATGACTCACTTCTCCACTATTCCTCTATTACTAACCCACTGACATGCTGAGAAATTCAACTAATTGCTCTTGAGACTGGCCAAAGAAAAACATAAAAATGAGTAATTGGCTACTGAAAGGTCACAAACAGTAAACTTTTCTTGCTATGATTCAAATAGGTGGAGAATATTACTAAATATTTCATATCCGCGTTTTTAAACACAGTGAAATCAATAGAGTAATTTTAATGAGGTCAATAAAGCATTAAAAAATAATCCATAATTACCTTAAAATGGTATCAGATTGAGGATTTAGGTGAAAATAGACATTGCCAATTTCAGTCTTTTTCACTATAAATATCACCCTTTGGCAATGGCATAAAATCACCTATACGGACTGAATTTCTCACTTGCCACATATTTGGAGCTAGTAGCCACTACTAGATCTGAAATATGTTTATTATTCATAGTCAAATGCTAGCTACTTCATTTATGTCATCCTGGAAGAGATTTCTATATGTCTGAGTTGACAAAAGACTCTTGCTTCCTTTAGAACAGTGGTTCCCAAACTTTCCTTACCAAGGCACACATGAGGGATAATATTGACAATTTTACCCACCTCTATCAGTCCCAATCACTCCCTAAGACCTGCTGCATGAATAAAAGAGGTCACCACTTATGCCAAAATCTGAGTCTCTGCACAGCAGAATACCATCCCTTTCGCTTCTACTGATCTAGATGTGAGTTGAGAACCACTGACTTAGATGATATCTACAATAAATACAAATAAGGTCAATCTGACAGGTACTTGAAAGAAAGGGCCACCTATAGGAAAAGATTTCAGGGCCATTGGGAAATCCCACTTGTACGCGAAATAAACAAAGCTTTGTTTAAATGCAAATAGGCTGTCAGCTGAGAGAGGCTAGAAGCAATAACAACCCAGTAGTGTGCCTAGCACCCAAATCTTGGTTTCTAATACCATTCTCCATGAAAGGGAATCAAGGCTCTTTGGGAAAATGGCTGATTCTAGGACGGGGGGCAAGAAATATACAAGATAATCCTGGAACATCTTATAGTGCTGGAATATAAGGAAATACAAAAAAAAAAAAAAAAATCCCCCAATAATGAGGTTATGTCAAAGGGACAGATGTATCAACTGAAAGAGATTCCAATGGACAAAGGTGGAAGAATTTGAGCCAGAAAACAAATATCCAAGCCAGAACATAAATATCCAAGTCCATATTGATATAAATAAACGGGAGAGAAGAGGCAAATATCCTATGCAGAAGAATTCCAAATAATTTTATGTAGATACTCCGCCCTTAATGAGGTGGAGCATAACTCCCCACTCCTTAAGTATGGGCTATGAATAGCTACTTTCTTCCAAAGAGGATAGTGTGAAAAGCGAGGAAAAAAAAGAGTAAGTTTACAGTGGAGGAAGACACACACTACCTCGAGCCAGGTGATCAAGGTCAATATCAAGAGTCATAGGGCATGTGATGTGATGAGAATAGTATTTTACCTCTGTGATCTTCCTCCGAAAAATACATTACCCCAAAATAACCATGAAAAAATTATCAGATAAGTCCCAATTGAGGGACATTCTTCAAAATATCTGAAAAGCACTATTCAAGCTGTCAAGGTCTTCAGAAACAAGGAAAGTCTGAGAAACCACCACAGCCAAAAGGAGACTAAGGAGATATGACAACTACATGCAGTGTGGTATCCCAGATGGACTCCTGGAACAGAAAAGGGGCATTAAAGAAGATCTGAGGAAACATGAATAAAGTATGGACTTCAGTTAATAATAATGTACCATTATTGGTTCATTAATTGTAACAGGTGTACCATAGTCATGTAAGATGTTAATAATAAGAGAAAATGGGTGTAGGGCATACAGGAACTTTCTGTACCATCTTCGCAATAATTCTGTAAATCTAAAACTGTTCTAAAATTTAAAAGTTTATTTACAAGAAAATAGGGGGCTTTTATTACAGCACTTTTTGTAGGGACAAAAAAACTGGAAACAAAGTATACGCACTTTAATGGGGAAATGACTGACTAAAATGTGGTATCATAGACTCTCAAGCAACACAAGAGTATTATAGACTTAAAAGGATGAGTGAGCTCTTTATCAATTGACTTGGAAATATTTCCACTATGTATTTTTACTAAGAAAAGAAAATGCAGAGAAACACATAACTCCCTTTTTATTTCGTAAAACAATGAGGAGAAAATTCCCATGTACATATGTTTGTATAATGAAAAGAGTAAGGAGAAGGCATGCAAGGATTATCAACATTAACATACCCAATTATTAACATTGCTCAGAGTAGGGGAATGGGGCTAGAGGAGGAGAGGTAGCAGGACTCGGGACAAAAGCAGGGCAGGGGAAGTAAGCAATAATTAATTCAATAATTCATTACAAGGATAGCACATGTATATAGTGAGCTGATGCCTTGCAAATAAAATTTTAAATTTACAAATGCAAAAAGCAAACATAAAAAGCAAATGGAGTAGGGGGAGGAAAAGAGATCTATTTTAGATTGGCAGGATTTAATGAGCATGGGGATGGAGAGGGGGTAGGCAGGGAAAGAGCAGCAGCACGCTAAAGAATACAGCATCAGTCACTGAAGCTGAATTACACTCACTCTTCAATTTTGCCAAGAGCTGCCCAAGTAGGTGAAAATATTGACTATCAGGAAGAGTGTGATCAGAATGATTGCTATTTCTGCCAGTATCCTGGGGTTTTTGCCCACCACAAAGAGACTAAACTCACCATTTGCTTCCCCAAAACTCCCCCCCACACACATATAACAGTGATTCGAGAAGGTTATTTATACATCACCTCTTCTCCTGGCCTTTTGAACAATAAGGCCTCACCAGGGGCTTCCATGTGTTTTTGACAAAGAGGTGACATAACTTTGGCATCAGACAAAGTCCACAGGAGACAAAAATAGGTAGGGTCTGCGTTTCCAAGAAGGTATAATCAAATAATAGAATGCAGGTCCCGGTGAGCAAGGTCAGAGGGTCCCAAAATGGCAGAGTTGAAAAGTGCTTTAAAGGTCATCTCAGCTATTTACTTCAATACCTAATGCAGTCTTTATCTGAAATTCTAGATCCTAGCACTGGGGTGGCATGGGAAATAAGGACATATGGTGAAATCCCTATGGATAAAGCAGACGCTTTTCACCGTAAAATTCTTGCAAACAGGAATTGTATCTGTGAATTCTTCCCAGTATAGTACCTAGGAACTCAGGATGACCATGTGTTTACAGTGCTCCATGTTGAATATTTGCAGACGGTGGACTCAAACTCACAATGCAAATTCTATGGAGAATTTCACCAGTAGCTCATTTGCTAAGAGATCTCCCAGCAGCATTTGAAGCTATTTTCCATCAACAAGAAAGGAGAGACCTTAGTCTCAATGATACTTCAGGTCATTTTCATGGTCAGATAACAAGATCCTTGAGCCAACGCAAAAACAACTGTTAATATAAGACCCTGGGGCAAGGACGGAGTTGCAGAAAAAGTAAATCATAAAATTTTCTAATTTAAATGAGCACATACAGAAAATGGGAGTCCCATTTTATGAAAATTTGATAAGAATTTGCTATGTAGTTCCAATAAATAATTAGAATTGAATTTACTGGAGCTCCACATGCACTGCAACTTTTCAAGGACACATCCACTGTACAACATGAGGCACACCTGCACACACTCCAGTCCCAATCAAAAGACTACCAACTGTGGTATTGAGCAATATTTTCACACAGCACTTACCTTAAAACACAAGTGTAGAATCCGCTGTCTTGTGCCTCAGCTGAGTGAAACCATATTGAATCTTCCTCTTTGCTCATCCTGACCTCGGAAAAGATGATGGGCTCTTCCAAATCACCTTTGTTTTTGTACCACATAAGCCTGAGTCCAGTGCTCTGAGCCATGCTATAGTTGGTGCGAATATAACTGTAGAAAAGGGCACATTTCACTCGGACTGGTTCACCTGCCAAAGCCATGTACGTCTTGAGATCCACTGACCAGTCAATGCAGCCATCCACTGAAAGAAAACCAGATTGGGCATGAGATGCAGTGAGCATTGTTGCTAATAATGGTAAAAGCAGCAATCACTCCCCACACGTACTGAGGACTTACTACGAGCCAGGCACTGCATGAAGCGCTTTACAGAAATTACCTCATTCAATCTTCACAGCGATCCTATGAGATAGACCAGTATGCCCCTTAGACCTAGGCAGGCAGGATCCCTGTTCTAGCCCTGTGCCTTTGGGGTATTTCCAATCCTCTACAGTAATCTGCTTGAGGTTGACTTAATCCTCTAAGATTCTCCAGCATGTGTGCCTATGTGGTTGTCCTGGGACCCCACGACCAGGTCTCAATTCCAGCAGAGCAGCCTGGCAAGTAGATCACCCCTGCTAGCCATGTGGTATTTGCTTCACAGGATTTTGGAAGATTGGACTGCTGGAATGACACTGACATGCTGATTTGAGGTGACTCAAGTGGTTTATATAGACAGGGGCCCCACAAAAAAATACTTCCACAGGACTCCTGTACAGCCTAGGAGCAGCCCTGAGATTGACACTATTATTCTATTTTGCAGACAAGAAAACTGAGACTCAGAGAAGTTCAGTGACTTTGCCCAAGGTCACACAGCTAATAAGTGGTGGAAAACCAGTCTCTGATTCCAAAGACTGTTCTTACCCCCTACCCTATACTGCTTCTGCCTATAATTGGGGCAGGAAGCATTGTGTTAGGTATGCACCTTTGAGAAAGTAAATGCCTGAGTTGGAAGCAGTGGGCACCTACAGTGATTATTTGCCATTATCTACATGCCAGTTTCCATGGTATGACCTATTAATAGCAGATATTTAATCACAGTTCGATTTTTTTTTATGCCCTTAGGCTCCTTTGCTGCTCAGCTGGTGTGTGCTCGTAGGAATATATTATATGAATGTCAGGTTTAATCAAATAATATTAGGTGGGTAAATCTACCATTAAAGAAAGACATATACAGTAAATTCCCTCTTTTCTGGAAGGGCTGGAAATGAGACACTGTGGCTAATTTAATATGCTAGTCAATACAATTAGCCTAGATAGTCTACCTCCAATTGCTGATTTTCAAAGAATTCCATCAAATTATGCTACATCCCTTTATATTACTTGATTACCCTTTATAAAACAATCCTTTCATAAACTGTATAAACACTGCCATTTTAAAATTATATCTTTCACTTATAATTTTGTAAACTCATCTGCTTCCTTTTTTAGATCTTGAAAACTCTGTAACCCTGTGTGTTTATCTTTTAACCTCAGTTGACAGGAAGCTCAGAGTTAAATGCAGTGCTCAAGCATAGTAACTACCTTACCTCAGGATTTTGCTTTCTCTATACAAGGGTTTCTTGACCTGGGGTTCAAGGACACCTGGGGGGAGGGTGCCTGGATAGACTTCAAGGTTGGTGGCAAAACCTTGTGTCATTTTGGATAGTTATGCTTTTCTGGGGAGACATTCCACAGCTCTTTAACAGATCTTCAAAGGGGTCTATGGGCCAACAGAGATCAGAACTCTGTAGTTTTTGATCTCTCTTTGTGACTTCATTTTTCACTGCCCTGCTGCATATGAGTTTTTGTTATAGGCTTCCTCAAATTCTCTTATAGTATGTGAGTATTCATTAGAAATAAATCAATATTAAATAAATATCTCATTCTAAATTTACACTGAAGGGCATTTGAACTTTCTTTGAGGATTCAGAGGGGACGAGATTCATCGCTCTGGATTTTGATGACAGCTGTGAACTGCTGAAGCCAAGAAGGTACAACTGGATGGAACTAAATATGTACTGATCACTAGAACAGAGAGGGAAAAATCTGCATTAGTTGAACTTTCTGGGTCATAGTAAATTACTGATGATATATCTCTGGATTAAATACAATTTTAATATTTATTTTTTACCATCTTTAAATGAATTTTCTATTATTCCTTTATATGGATTATCTGTGATACTGTTCCCTTGCATCAACACAACTGAGAAGTAACAATATAAATGTTTTTTAGAAAATATATATTTTCTTATAGCTTTATTTTGAAAGTTGATTAATACAAACAAAGAAAACATGGAGATAAATTAAAAAGCAAACTCTTTAATATTCTAATTTTTGTTTTCCCCAACTCTAAGATGCACAGTAAGTGTTTTTTAATTAACAAATTTGTCTCGGCAAAGCAGCTTTAAACATCTGTAGTTACCTATTTGATAGAAAAAAAACTTTTGGGATTTTTTTCCACCTGCTCTCTAAATCCCTTTAGTTAGCTCCTCTAAACGATCTGTTGCATAATCTACACCTTGACAGTGTTAACACGCTGGTTTGGCCCATTAGTGACAGGACATGGTTGGTATTGAAGATAATCAAAATATCTGCTTCTGAGACACAACAATCACGCTCAAAGGCAGTTGAAGGCATTTAACTACCATTACAACTAGCTTTGTCACACAGACCTTGAGAGTATACTGAGAATTCATTTTCTTTTAAGTACTACCTGCGCAAAATGTATTTGATTTAATAGATTTATGGTTCTTTTTCTTCTTTTTCCTTGCTTTAGGCAGCAGAGAGGGAGTATTTAGTTATAAGATAGTCAAGAGGCAGAGAACAGATATGCAATAATGGGAACAACAATTTCCAAATATTATCCCCTTTATTCTTTTCCTGCAGTATTCACAATACAAGGTTCCAATATAAGTTATATCAAAAGACTTGAGGGAATTTTCCCAAAAAGTAGATAAAGGGCATGATACCAGAGAACCCTGAAGGCCCACTTGCCACTAAATATCTTCCCATACTGAACTTCCATCAGTGGAAATCCATTCCCAAGAGTTAAGGCATTGTAGCCTTTTATCTAGAGAGTATTGGACCACTACTCGATTCCAACAACGTGGTATGGTTTATTTTTACTGGATTGCTATTCTTAGGAAAACAAATGGACACTGAGGCAAGAGGGGATGGAATAGGATATAGTAAATTTATTTTTTGATTTTGGACTAGTGAAGTAACTAGGAGGGACATCGTGAGGTGAGAGGCCTGGAAAGTCAGGTGGTGGGAAAGCCCTAAGGGATTGCAGCCTTGAGGTTAAGAGAAAAGGACCAAAAGGTGTGAGAGGGTCACAAAAAGGCAGGAAGAGGACAAAGGTCACATACAACTCAGTTAGCCAAGTGTCAATCCAGGAATCAAAGAGGGTGCCAGCAGAAGTCACCAGTGCGAGTCTCATTTCTGTCATGAGAAGGAGTTTGCAATAACATGCCACACTTTCAGAGCACCTTGCATGTTGATGCTCCATACGTATTTGGCAAATAGCTGAATGAACAGATCAGTGATGCAGCTTACAAGAGTGCAGGCTATGGTCACCTTGGGGACATAGTGGAACACAGAGGAAGCCAACTTGTGAGCTTGACCTCATCAGCACAGGCCTTTAATCTACAAAGCGATCCAGCCCTATTCTGCTCACAACTCCAGTCGCACCTGTTGAAGTCGGCCCCCAATGGGGCTCCTGTGAAAAGTGGTTTCTGGACAGATTGGCTTTTCCCACAGGTGGTTTGATAACAGGGTTTCACTGAACAGCCACAAGTGTAAATAGAGGCACTGCAGGAAGAAAAATGCTTTTCCCAAAAATACAGCAAAATTCTGCAGTCAGATTGAAGCTTACTACAGAGCAAACTCATAGAAAGTATAAGTGAGTGCACGCCTGTCCTCTGCTTCACAATCACTCAGCATGGTTATAAATATTCCTGTCATGCCATTAGAAAATACCTCCTATTTCTAAATGATCCATTCTCTGTTCACTCTTGAGTCTTATGAATAGCAATTCAAGTATTTAAAAGAACAATTGTGTTTCTTTAGATTCTCATCTCTACTCCCTTGATTTAGATTTCTGTAAAGCTCACAACGTTATTACTCTTGGTTTAGTCTTGTTGGCAGAAATGCTTTAATATCTGAGCTCTCCAAAACAATTATAATGGAGCAAAGGAAGCCACTTCTTTAAAATCCAGATCTCTATGTTAATCATTTTCATTCCGATCTGCAAAACAAATGTACGCAAAGGGAATTTGACATGAAGATGGAAAAAAAGGAATGTACGAAGCATATAAAGGGTCATGTCAGTATCCATGTAATTTATTTTACCAAGAGGAGACTCCTAGGGGTAAGACTAACACGGTCCCCTGGAAAGTGCTGTGGGTGACCAAAGCAAACCTATTTAGCCTCCTTATAGATAAGCCTCGTTGGCTTCCTCCACAATACAACCAGGAGAGCAAATCCTGCCACACCTACCTGCTATGAAAACAAATCCCAGAGAAAAGTTTATAAATCCCTAAAAGAGGATAAGATGTTATTATCAACAACAACGATTATATTATTTTTTTAAAAAAAGAATATTGCATGCAATAAAATTAGACTCTAATGGCTATGTACATTACAATTTTTATTGGGAGATAGGATATATAGCTATGTATAGAATTGTCAGTTCAGGAGTTTTGCCCCAAATTGGCAATCCCTTTAGGTAAAATGGCTAATTAGCACATGAAAAAATATGCAAGCTCCAGATATCCTGATGATGTTCATTACAACTTAAGTCCTTTGCCTGGGATGTACATTTGACTCTAGTTTATTATGCGTTTGTGATAAATTCATTTGTGAAACCAGATGTTTTCTTGCAACTATGTCAACTATATCCCCTTCATTTTCACAGCCAGCTCTCCTTTTTGTGAATCAACAGGGCAGTTGCTGGGGGCAATTCACTAAATCACCACTAGAGGGCGGGCTGTCCAAGTTTTTGTGTAGCTCTTAAGTTTTCCCCACCTAACCTCTAAAACTAAAGATTTGCTATCTGCCAACCGCTGGGTGCTGGGGAGGAATCACTGCACACCTCTGAGGATGCACCATTGTGGGTGATAGAGGGAACCAAAAGTTGAGCATGCGGCTGAGCTCTTTCTCAACCTGGCTAACCAGGTTAGACACACAACAGGTGGATGACAGCACAGAAAGGTGTGACAATAT